CATTTCATAACGCACTGATCATTGAAATTAACCGCTTTCCCCTCCAAGCCATATAAAGCAGTGTGCTTACAGTGAAGCACACACACAGCCCAAGTAGTGAAACAGGACACAGTTAACCCTTTGATTGCCCCACATATTAACACCTTCCTGCCCAGTGCCATTAGTACATTGTCAGTGCTTTTTATCAGCACTGATCACTGTATTAGTGTTATTGGGATGTCAGTGACACCAAGTCAGTTCCCCCCAGTGTCAGAATGCCCGCCGCAGTCCCGCTATAAGTCGCTGATCACCACCATTACTAGTAAAAATAAAAAATAAAAATCCCAGTATACATACTGCCATTTGTAAACGCTATAACTTTCACATAAAGCAATTAATTTACACATATTAGGATTTTTTTTAGCAAATGCATGTAGTGTAGCAGAATACATTTTGGCCTAAATTTATGACGTAATTTAATTTTTAAAATTTTTTTTACTGAACATGTTTAATAGCACATAGTCAAAAGTATTGTTTTTTTCTTAGAATTGTTGGCTTTTTTTTTATAGCGCAAAAAATAAAAAATGCACAGGCGATCAAATACTACCAAAAGAAAGCTCTATTTGTGGGGAAAAAAGGACGTAAATTTAATTTGGGTGCAGCGTTGCATGATCGAGCAATTGTCAGTTAAATTAATGCAGCGCCATAATGCAAAAAATGATCTGGTCAGGAAGGGTGGTAAATCCTCTGGAGGGCAAGTGGTTAATTTGCATTCCTGACTACCTTACTGTATATTATTCAGGATTCAAGAAATGCTAGGGGACTTCAGTTTTAGTTGCTTAGAAAATAATGAATGCTATCTCTCAATGCATAAGTGGCTGTTCAAGTTACATTAGCAGAGTTTGGTACAGGTACATATTGTAGCAGAGTGCACTGAAAGGATCTTCTTTGTTACATATCTGTGATTAAACAGGAAACCTTATTTTTATTATTTTATTTCATTTATCTTATACTTCTGGGTATATTTATAAATCAACGAATGTGCCATTTGCCTATCATTCACTTTAGTTCTATTTTCCTGGTGTATGTGTTTTAAATTACAGTCATATTCACTTATTTAAAACTTTTTTATTTTTTTTTATAAATGTCAGTGTAGGGTGGCTTTTTCCAGCAGGTCCATTGCATAGAATAAACAAAACCTCTGCTCATTCAAGCCATTGCCTAAACTCATGCCAGCTCCTGACTAACAGGGTCCCCCCGATACAGGCCGCTCTCATTCCTATTTAGCGTTCTGTCAGCAGTCAGTCTTTGCCTCCATCAGCAGGCCCTCACAGGGAGCAGTAAAAGAGAGCCCTGAGCATCAGACTGATTGCATATATAAAGATGTGCACAAGTGTGGCAAGGAGCATATTTTTCCAAACTTACAGTGGACGTGTGACAGTCCTTTAGCATTCCCTTGCTGAGTCCCTGGCCTGTGTTTTTTCATAAATGCAGAGACTTACAGAGCCAGAAACGTTGATCTTTACACTGTTCCCATTGTTCTGAGCCATCCACTGTAGAGAAGAATAGTCTGTAAACATTTGGAACTATCTTCCAACAAGGTGATACCTCATTGACTCTAGTGCCCCCTTTATGGCTAGACACTACTTTTACACTATTGAATAGTTCCCCTCTGCATGGGTTTGTTTCCTGTTGTGTTATGCTACATTCAACCCGTATTATGCTATGTTCAACCATTTTTATTTCCAGGGACAAGACTGTTCCCAGGCCAGTGTCAGAGACATCTGTTTGTACATGGAATTCTTGACTGAATTTGGCGGTCCTTAATGCTGGTTCCTTCTTTGTTCATCAGAAGCTTTATGAACCCTCAGCCCAATGCTGTAGCCCAAAAATTGGGTTTCTTAAGGCGTAATGTGCATTTTTTATTGGCTGCCCCCCCTTATGAATGAAATCTAAACTTGCATGGGCTTTCTATTGGTGGGAATTCCAGCCAATACTAAAATTGACAACATCTATACACGCTGAAGCATATGCTTTGGGGGTGCTTTGGAATGCTGTCCATCATTCTTTGGAATGTGTCTGGGGCCTCGTTTAAGCCAAAAAAGGATAACTAAGTAATGTAATTGACCTGGCAGGACCCAAACTTATCCAACCAAGGCATGAGAAAAGCATTACATTTGAATATTTAATTTAGTTTCCCAAATTTGTTGTAAAACCTCAGGCTGCTATCCAGCTTAGATAATTAGCACTACAGGGCTTCATCCCTCATTGTTAGATTCCTCTATGAAACCAAGGCTAACATTTTCTGTCCCTGCACTAAAATTTCTCTGAGCTTCAGGTACCCAATTAGTTCTTAAAGTAGTAATAAACCTTCAGTATTTTGTAGCTTAAAACATTGAGCACATTAATATAAACATTCCATAGTAAAACAGTGGGGTTTATTTACTAAAGCTGAAGAATGCAAAATTAAGTGCACTTTTGCACAGAAACTAATCCGTTTCTAGGTTTTATTGCCAAAGCTGAACTGAATAAGCTGAGGTTAGAGGATGATTGGCTACCATGCACAGGTGCACTAGATTTTGAGTGATCTGGTTATAGTAAATCTACCACTATGTGTTACAATTCCTACTGCAGAACTTATTTTACAATTTTCAATGCTGTTGGCTCCTCTCTCTCAGTGCTGTTTCCCTGAACTTTCTTTCTTTACAAGAAATGGTTAAAAGTTGATAGTGCAGTCTCCAGTCAGTCTGTTAGTTTGGAGATAGAAATGATGAGGGAGGTGCAGGGAGTGCCTTTCCATCTTTGACTATGGGGCTTTATGTTTCCATTGATGTGCATAGCGTAGGAAAACAGAGCTCTAGTCCATTTCAGCATCACAGCTCCGCATTACACTATATACCAAGGTCTTGATGACACTCATGGAATGCTTAACAATTCTATGAGATGTCTCCAGAGCACTGCAGTAGAGTAGTTTTTTTTTGCTTCCCCAAGTATGCAAAATACTCCCATTCAGTGTAAGACAATCTTGGCGGAGGCCACCAGACTGGCATGGACTAAAGGGATGAGGCTTCTGAGATCTAATAATGCTTCCACCTAGTGTCCTTTTATTGTATTTGGATATGTCTGCCTGTCTGTCCACATTTTTAGTTATGTACCCAGACCAGGCTTTGCAAATAGTGACATAATCATACACCTCCCCAAGTTACATTCCATAGGCTCATGTAATATAGGGCAGTTGGCAGCCACATGTCCAAGCTGTTGACATAGCCAGCACTAAACATGTTGTGTGTCTCTCATGGAAAATACTGCTTTTTGCTAGGAGGCTGCTCAGATCTGGAACCCATAGCTGTATGTGACTCTACAAGGGAAACACGTTTATCCACACTCTTGTAATATGTATACCTAATGTGCCTCTGTATCTTAATTGGCAAGGCTCTGATGTAATGGTGTAGACCACTCACTCCACAATCTGAGCAAACCTGAGCACCTCAGGTTACAACTACTTGATTGTAAGATAGAAAAACCATCCATTTGGGATCTTGTAGGCTTACCAGGGTCATATTCTCATGTGAACCCGAGCTGCGCTAGGATAGCCATGGTAACCGAGAGTATTAAAAGAAGATGCTAGCACCTCAGCCCCTTTAAAAGGGGTGCTAGAACTCCAGTCCCTGCTCCTGGAGTAACCTATCATGTTGCACAACTTTCTCAAAGATGCTGAGGTAAACTTCAAAATTATCCTCTAGGAATAATTTCTGTAAAGCACTCTGCACCAGCTGTAGATGTTAGTCCCTGTGTCACCATCTGCTTCTCTAACAGAGAGTCAGCATACTAGCATGACGTTGTAAGGAGGACAGGTTCAACTGTTCTTGTTAGCAAAATAAACATGCATGAGACAAGGACACCCAGGAACAGTCTAAACAGGTTCATATGGCACTTTTATTCACTTAGGTAGCAAAGAAACAAACTTTAAATGCAGGATGCAGAATTTCATACAAAATATGTGCTTGCCCAAGTCACTATCTAAACCCATATCAGTTTTTTGCTAACAGGGTGCCCCTTACAGAGTTCCCTAAAACAAACAGGCTGCTATTATTCCTTTTTAGTGTTGTGTTAGCAGTCAGCCTTTTCACCCAGCAGCAGGCTCTTATAGCAGAGGGAGAAAAAGCCCTGAGCATTAACCAGCTCATATACTTAAAGGCTTGTGCACAGTTAAGATTGATAATGAGATAAGGCTACCAGACAAGATGAGAACCTTTAAATGGAGGTCTTATCCCACCCAAAGCTCTACAAAGCCTCAAGGCTCCATAACTCATAACAGGACTTCAGCAATTATCAACCCTAGAACCCCTTTTCCTGGAAGTGGTTATAACTGCTATTTAATATTTATCAATATCTAAAACTCACTATGGACAGGGGTGGACGGCAGACAGAATGAAGTAGTGCTGGATCCTTGGCCCTTCAAATTCTCTCATTATTTTACTATCCTATGTTTTAGTGTGTTAATGTTAGGTATGTATAGTGGTAATCCCAAAAAGAGAAAAAAGATCCATGGGATGTAGATTTTATTGTATATTATGGCTTTTAAATTCTGACGTAAATATTTATTTCAAAGGCCTTAAAATGCATTTAATAACACTTTTGATCACTTGCCTACAGGGCACGTATACCCCCTTCCTTCCCAGGCCAGTTTTCAGCTTTCAGTGCTTTGAATTGTCGCACTTTGAATTACAATTGTGCAGTCATGAAACACTGTACCCATATTAAACGTTTTTTAATCATTTTTTTGAGACAGATAGAGCTTTAATTTGGTGGTATTTAATCACCTCTGGGTTTTTTTATTTTTTGCTAAACAAACCAAAAACAACTGAACATTTTGAAAAAAAAAACTTTTTTTTTTGTTTTTGTTATAAAATTTTGTAAATAAGTGATTTCCTCTCCTTCACTGATGTGCACTAATGAGGCTGCAGTGATGGGCAATGATAGGCTGCACTGATGAGGAGGCACTGATGGGCATTGACAGGCATCACTGATGGGCACTGAAAGGCAGCACTCATATATGGCACTGATAGGCGGCACTGACTGGCACTGATAGGTGGCACTGACTGGCACTATTAGGTGACACTGACTGGCACTATTAGGTGGCACTGACTGGCACTGTTAGGCGGCACTGACGGGCACTGATAGGTGGCACTGACTGGCACTGATAGGTGGCACTGAAAGGCAGCTCAGTGGGGCACTGATATGTGGCATTGATGTGCACTTGTAGGCATCAATATGTGGCATTGATGAGGCACTGATGGGCACTAACAGGTGGCATTGATGGGCAATGATAGCTGGCATTGATGGGCACTGATAGGTGGCACTGCTGGGGCTACACTGATCATCAGGGCACACTGATCATCAGTGCCCTGATGATCAGTGTACATGTCCCCCCTCCGAGGAATGCCGATTACCGGCTCTCCTCTCCTCTCGAGCTGTCAGTGTGACAGCTCGTGAGGAGAGAAATGCAGATAACTGACATTTCCCTATTCACATGTGATCAGCTGTGATTGGACACAGCTGATCACATGACCGAGCCGACATCTTTGGCTCTTTCAGTTGATCCGCTGTGTCCGAGGGACACAGCGTACCACTGATCGCCGCCCCGCGCGCTCCCAGAGCCGCACATGTGCGGTTAGAGTAGGAGGACGTCATATGACGTCCTCCCAGAATGAGAGAACCGTCTTGCGCCCATCATTACCTTATATGACGGGCGTGAGGTGGTTAAATGCTTGCATTTATCCTGTTCAATCCCATAAGAGAATTGGCAAACACACTTTTTTCTACCCTCTGGGACAATACCGCTAAAATACATTAGGCTGGCAGTCCAATTTAATATTAACGTGCCATACTGGGGTGGCATGTGTGATTCTTACTGGTGTCATCCCTAACATGGCTAATCCACAGCACAAGATAGTTGGGAACTCAGAGTCATTGCTAGGATTGTAAATGACTTGGAGTACTCTTGGAGACTCTGAGGATGTGGAGGGGTTTAATATAGTATGGTTAAATAAGACCTAAGGCTACTCTGGGTCAAGAGTATGTAACACACATAGCGGAATGCAGGGGTCAGGAGCTAGTAGCACACAGAGTGCAAAGGTCAAGAGTAAGTAATGCACTCCCAAGCAAAAATTACCCCCCTGTCCCAGTACATTCCCTTCCCTTGATCCCCCCCTTGACAAAGCCAACTCCAGCACAAATTCCCCCTCCCTTCTTGAAATTTACTCACAGGACCTTGGCATTGAATTGCATCTGCTGGTGAATGCCAAGGAACCTGACACTGTGAACATCTGTTTTTTTTTTTAATTTTTATATGATTATTGACTTTTCCCATCAACCGCTATCTGTCAGATTCATTCATATATAAAAAAAAAAAAGTGGATGAAGGACTATATCATTGGAGTCCTCACCGATAGGGATGTTTTCTGGCGACCAACCCCTCAAAAGAGGGATTGTCCCTGGCAAATAGGGATAAATGGTAACCTTAATTTTGGCTGCTTAAAAGAAACCTGTCTTGGCAAATGTTAGGGGGCTGCCTTTGCTGACTTTCTGAAAATGTTATATGCTTAGCCATTTTCTTTAAACTCTGTCTCCAGTACTTTGAATTACAGACTTGGAACAAGTTTAAGACTTTCATATTTTTTCTCTGCACAGTTTTTCTAGGTCACTGACTCAAAGAATTAAGCAAGTGAGTTAATATGATAGTCGGGCTACGAGAACTTTTAGAAAATGTTAACAATTTCACCTTCCTTTTTATTTCTCCCTGTTTTGTATAGTTGTTCCTCTTACAGAATAGACTTTTGGTGACATGCTTTGCTTCTCAGATTCTGACAGATTTTGCCATTGCATAGCTGTACAATAGAATAAGTTGTATTGTGCTCATGAGGTAAGGAAGCTGAATGATGAGGATTCTATGTGATAAGGGCATGGTATTTTAGTTGGTATTTTATTTAGCATTTTATTTAAGCGAGTCATTTTCTCAGAGAAGCACTAATGAAATACCCAATCTTTTGAAAATTCATCCTTTATAATACCTAACACTTTTAAGTATATATATATATAATGGTAAACCACACCTTTTTTTCCACAGGGCCCACCAATTGCAGCAGTGTAACATAAAAGTGTACTTTTTGTGTTAAGTTAATTTGGTTGTGTCTGCCCTCCAGGTTAAATGTTTCCAATCATTCCCCATTACATTCATAAGAACGGTAATTTGAGGCAGGTAGTTTCATCTGCGCAAAAGCATTTGACTGTGTTTATTAGAATATCTCAAAGACTCCTACACAAACTTCTTGGAAAGAAAACAGTGAACAACATAGTATTGTTTTATAGAATAACCTATTACTCAAAGAGACATTTAAAAAAGTTTGTGAAAGTATGGAGTAAATGGGTGAATCCCATTGAAACTGCAGGAGAAATTATTGACCAAGATTAATCAGTTAAATTTACTTAATAATTTTTTCCTGCAGTCTCATGGGAATTGACCCAATAACAGGATACTCTTCTCTGCAATGATTTATGCATTAGTGTCCGATTGCTAAAGCTAATTTACCACCCAAAGCACATTCCTAATAAAAAAAGACGGTATGGGTTTTTTGTAGTTTGGAGAAAAAAATCCATACTTTACTGGCAGAGATTTATTGGTCAGCTCCAAATTGGACCATAGTGAATTTATTTGGGATTCAAACATACAGATTGAATTCAAATTTCAGAAATTCACGTTGAATCCAAATTTGAACACTACAAATTAGCTACTATATTATAAAATAATCTTCCAAAATATCCTAAATTAGGATATAGCTTTCAAAGGATTCCCAATAAGCACAAATAACCAAAATGTTTAGATTCTGTGCTGCAGATTAAATGTAACTGATGCTAAATAACCAATGTAATGTTATGGCATCTATGATATACTTGGTTATTTAACATCAGTTAGATTTTATTCTAGGGTTAGACAATACATTGTAATATCTTATTGGCTGCTGTGAGCAACACTACTTTCTTCAAAATATATTTTTTAATAATATAAATGAAACTTTAACACAATTAGCTTATCAAGCAGCAAACCTGAAAGTATTTCTGTGTATATAAAGGTAGTTGTGATGAGCCTACATGAAAAGTAGAGGCTTGCTACCAGATTAGCTATTGCCCAGGGGAGAGCACAGAACATGGTTCTAAGAACATCTCAGAGCATCTGAACAGTAAGAGGAAATTGTATTTACTATGTTGTGCTATTTGTAGAAATAAATTGGGAATCACAGAGGAATGGGTTTAGCTCTTTTATCCCCAGATGGGGACGTACTTTAGCAGAATACCAGATAAGCCTGCAGTTAGCTTTGCTGTGCTATCATTACACTTCAGCTGCTGCTAACTGGATATCTTACAGTAGCTACAGCTACACAACAGCAATCATTAAGGCTATTTGCCTACAGGAAAAATTCAGTGGGAGAAAATTCAACAAGACAAACTTAGTTTAGGTGACTGTCACAACAGATAAAGTGTCATGTAATCAATATCTTAAGGTAAGAAGCACCACAGGTGTCTATGAAACAGCGATCTGAACATTCATATGCCTCAAGAGGAGCAGAGATATTTCTTATTTCATGGTGTGAAAATAGACCCCTTTATGATAGACTAGGAGGGAGGTTAAATGATCAACACAAACTGCTAGAGATGCAGGAATGCTGTGACATAAAAGAAGGTTAAGGGAGGAAAAAGGGAAATGTTTGTCTTTACTTTGCCTATTGGCTGTGCATTGTTCTGTTGATTTTCACAACAGTAGTACCATTCCTCCTAATGTTTCTATTTCAGGAGATGATGTGAGTTTTAAGATCCCATATATAAAATGCGTGTGCGTGAATCAGCGAATGTACATGCACAGTGGCACGCCTCTGAGGGCATTAGATTCTGGTAAATTCTGGTGCTCATTTGACTTTGAAAGGATGGCAACTCTGACCATTAGTTGCTGGATGATCATCAGCCCCTTGTGTTCCTGTGCTTCTGCCTTGTAATATCTGACTTCCCATTGCGGACGCAGATTGCCTCTGACCTGCCTTGTCTCTCCTCCTGGCTCTGGCCCTCAGCTTGCTCTACCAACTCTGCTGCTGCTTGATTATCTGTGAGAAAGGAGCCCATTCAGGTATCCAGAGGCTGCCCTTTGGGGGGGGCACCGTCAGAGGACTAAGCATACTGTCGCCAATATCGTACATGGCTGAAAGTTACATGCTCCCATGCACATAGACGCACTCAAATGCACGAATCGGCAAATATGCAGTGGCACAAACAGAACGAGATAGATTCTGTCACCCATTTGACTTTAGAAGGACAGCAATTCTGGCCATTAGTTGCTGGCTTGTTCTACTGACTCTGCTGCTTGATTATCTGTGTATGATCTCAGCTCATCCCTCTGAACTCGCTCTTGCATGATTTTTTGTGTTCGACCCTTGGTCTGCTTCTGACCTTGCTTCTTGCTCCTGCTCCTGATTGATCACCTGTGCATGACCCCTGGCTTGGCTTCATCCTTGCTTCCTGCTTGCTGCCAAGTTCTGTCTGCTATGTTTGGAGAACATACTCCTGCTGCCAAGTTCTGTCTGGCACGTCTGAAGAAAATACACTTGCTGCCAAGTTATTCCTGCCATGTCTGGGGAACTTCAGCTCTGAAGCCACTTCTGTTGATTCTTCCATTCCCAGGTGATCATCATCTCAACTCTTCAGGCTTCAACCACAGGCAACCCATGCTTTTTTGGCCAGAGCATCTTCTGTTCCTACCTTCAGGGGCAATCTGCACTCATCCACAAGGGGAGCCCTCTTAGCTCTCCGGCCTCTGAGCAGGTATGTGACAGTTAGCTAGCTGTCGGCCAACCATTAGTAAGACAGCACAGTAAAAAGGCATCTGTATAAAGGCAAATATATGAGCTTTACAAGTAAAAAGGCATATGTATACAAGCAAGGACAAGAGTGCTTCACAAGGTTAAAAGCATACAGATACAGGAAAGACAAGGGAGCTTCAGAAAAGCAAGTGGAGCCCTCTCAGCACTCCAGCCCCTGACAAGGTATGTGACAGTATCATCCACTATGTCTGAGGCTGACAGAGGTGCTTCCCCGATCGAGGCTCTGTGCAAGTTGCAGCCCTTACTCAGGTAGTGAAGAATCTTCAGGAAGGATACTTCCAGCTGGAGGGCCATCTAAAAAATTCAACTATGTCCACTACTCCTTCAATTCAAGATTCACCAAAGGTACCAGTTCCTGAACGCTTCTCCAGTGATCAAAAGAAAATTCTGAGCCTGCTTGCTATACCTGGCCCTTCAACCAAGAACGTTTTCCCTAAAGACTGTAAAAG